GCAAGGCAATACTTGCCAAAAGAATCAAAGAGTAGCTGCTATGCCTGTAACAGATTATTTAGTAAATTATCTTATTGCTGTTTGTAGGACATTGTGTGCAATTTGGCAGCTGTCTTTCCCTACTTTACAACAGTAACTGCACTTCGAAATGTTTCATTGTCTGTGAAGTGCAATGGGAACTGCTGAGCATGTGCATTATGCGATAGAAATTTAAGTTATTTTCTTTTGAATAAAATGTTGAATAAGTACCTGTGATGGCTTAATGTGATACAACAGCACTTTTATTCCAACCTGTTAATTGTGTTAAAGCAAGAAACAAATGGAAAATGGGGTGATTGTCTCTCTGTGCCCATTATTTCATGTAGAGATGGAATTTAATCGCCCACAGATTCCTGCAATAGTAGATTAGTAGTAGATTAGTTATGCATGAGCAACATCCAGGATCTTGAGAATGTGGTCTTTGTAATTGCTTTTCAGTGAGTTTAATTAGAAATGCCTGACAGAATGCAATCTTAGCCCCAATTTAAAGAAAATAATTTTTGCATGTTGCTGCTGAATGACTTTTCAAGCCTAAGATCCTTAAAGCTTTTCTGGGGAAGGATGGTTTGAATCCCGACTAAATATGTTCAATTTGAAAAGACAATGTTTATCCTTGCCTCAGGAGTTGAATAAGTTATAAGAGCCACTCTGTGTTCCTACTGCAGGACTCCACTGTTCGATTTCCTGTCAGACTCTTCATGTTGCACATTGCTAGTTTCGCCCAACTTATGACCTTCCCTTTTAAAATGAGGAACATCTGGCACTTCCTGATTTCAGGATGCTACTGAGGTAAAAGGTGTTGTTGACCTAGGTCGAATGCAACCCCAGCAGCAATTGTAAGGTTGCTGCTTCCCATGTTGTCCTCCTAGTGTCTTTTAGCAAGATGATTACAGTGAATAGATTTGAGAGAGACCTAGGAGCAAGTTGTTTCTGCAATCTCTGACTGAACAAAATAGACAGAGGAAGAGAGAAAATTCAGAAAATTACCAACCAGTTAGGTATGGAATTAGGACTGAGAAAAAAAATCAGAAGTATCATTTCACTTTCCTTTCCTTCAAACTTGGAGTCAGAGTTTTTTTGAAACAATAATCTTACAAACACAGGATTTAAACAATGAATTGTTACCATCTGGTTAATGCAGATTCAATAATAACGTTCAAAAACAGAGTCCGATGCATACTTGAAAAAGTAAACAATTGCAGGAATTGGGAAAGAGTGGAGGTGAACAAAGTCTGTTCAAAGAGTTGGCTGAATGACCTCTTTCTAGTAGATAATATTTTCTGACTTTATCCTAGCAGACACTTGATCACTGTCTGCTTCTCAGCTCATATACAAGTCCAAGAATTAGGAATTGATTCAGTCCAGTTTGATACTTCATTTCCAAAGCCATCTTTTTGTTGTAGCTCCTTTGAGTTAAACTATCAGTGTGGAGAATCGTTGATAGTTTATTTTTGCTGAATGGAGCCATACAAATGGGTTGCAGTGTTCCTGACTCTTTTCACATGGTGCTTTTATAGTCAGCAGATGGGGAAGACTATCATCCCATCAGTCTCAGCTGAACTTAAATTAGAAGAGGATAGGTTTTCTAATATCATAAGTAGTATAAACGAGGCCCTTAACTTCTCTGCTGGCACCCAAGGCAGTGCTTATGTTACAACTCCAATGAAGTCACTTCAAAGTAACCGCTATATGTCCAAAGCTTTTAAGACGAGAGCTGCTGACAGAGGGATTTGTCACTAGTTGAGCCAGCTGCTTAATCCTGCTCAGTTCAAACTGGAAAGTTTAAGAAAGTAATAACAAACCAAAGCAATCCATTTATTTTTCAGTTACTTTTATTCTTTTCAATTTACTGTTCTAGTATGTTGACCAGGACTTGCATCTAAGAGCCTTTGATTGAGTAGACACCAGTTGCTTCATTAGCATTTAGTGTGTCTGTATTTCTGTGTGTAAACATGTGAGCCTAAATGTATACGTTGTGTCTACACCACTGTTAACGATGGTCAAGGACTCTCAGTTCTGAGCCAACTACATTCCCAAGATGACACTCTGCCTACAAATACAAATGTGAGAAGCTGCTGCACGTTAGAGGTCAATGCCTCATCACTAAGAACAAAACAAAGGAAGAAGTGATAACCTACTAGGATTCCCCAGATTGTGACGCTTCCTTGGCAGGAACTATGAGCACTCGTGGTGGTATAAAGCATTTGCTGATGCCTAGTTTTCTAACTTGCGCCCCGAGAGTGTACCCAGAATATTGAAGTATGAAATGCTGGCTGCTGTGATGCATGGGTGTTATCATGAAATAATGAACGGATAGAAGCAGATTTATTTATAATTTTTGTTATCAATGTTTCATTTTCCTGGAACACTGATATCCCGTTATTTATAGAATTTCTTTATTAAGATAAGGTACTTGTTTGTTTCCCCACTGTGGGGCACCCCTGGAGACTAGCCAATCTTTCAATGTGCACCAGCCTTTAATGTGTTTTCGGTATTAACACTCTGCAGTAACTTAAAGGTCCTGTATAGGGAAAAAATAAAGGAGATGCAGAATAATAATTGAGGAGGAAAGTTATTCCAGATTATGCTAAAGAATGATTGGTGTTATAGGATAAGGAAACTCTAGGGAGTTTCAAAGGAAAAGAAACAGTGGCTTTTGGAGTCAGTGTTCTGAATGCTGAAGAAACTAGTAACTCTAAGAGGTATTGCTGGGTTCAGTGATAGATGTTTGAATAGCCTTTCCTCTAGGCTGTTCTTGCTTGTTGTATTAATTGAATAGGTGGCATTGAGACATGGCCTGGAGATTAATACCAATATTACTTACACCAACCAGCAGAAGCTGCCTTAAAAACAGGTAAATGTTCAAATGGGAAAAGGACTCAGTGATAGCAGGACCTGGCAGTGGCAGCTGTCTGATTTCCTGTTCCAGCTAACACGTAGCTGCTTCCTCGTAATGATGACCCTGTGTTTTCTTTATACAATCCCTACAGTGCAGATAGAGGCCATTCGGCCCATCAGATCATAACTGACCATCTGAAGAGTATCCCACCCACACCCTATCCCCATAACCTCGCATTTCGATTGGTTAATCCCCCTAACCTGCACATCCCCAGACATGATGGGGCAGTTTAGCACGGCCAATCCACCTAACCTGTGCATCTTTGGACTGTGGGAGGAAACTGGAGCATCCAACGCAAAGCCATGCAGACACGGGGAAAAGCTCCACACAGACAGTTGCGCAAGGCTGGAATTGAGCCCGGGTCCCTGAAGCTGTGGGGCAGCAGTGCTAACCACTGAGTCAGTGTGCCACCCTCTCCATTTTCATTCTCCATGTCCATGATCCCTCTCAAATCTTCATCTATGTGTCTTGGCTTTGGAAAGCAACACAGTCCACAGTTCAAGCTTTCAATACTCACTCTGAACTGATTAATACATACAACTTGCCAGCTTCTACCAGATCAATTTGCACACAGGGACAGCCACAAATCTCCTGCATATAAACAATATGTTTTATGCTGACACGGGCACAGGCATCTTAGGCTCTGAGCTTGCTGTTAGTATTCACTGAATTTAGTGCTCAGTTACGGGTTGCCACCCCTTATGTGGCTTGTATTGTTTTGTTAGCGCACTAAGGTCATGAGCGCCCTAGCGTCACAATCTGTCACCCTCTGTTTCTGAGTTTGCATTTTTAGCACCATGGGAGAGACAGGCAGATTGTGACCAGAGGAACACACTGTACAACAAATGTATCAGTCTGCTTGGAGGTAAACATGTGGCTATGTGGCACATGCTCAGTTCCAGAGCCTTCAGCATGTGCCAGCAGGTTGCTCAGCCAACACAGGTCAAATGCAGCTAGTTCAGGAATTACACATGGGTCAGTCTGGGTGCTTTGGCAAAACCAGTGTGGGATCCACGCCAAGGTCAGTCAGGGCTGTAATGCCAGGTCAGTAACAGTCACAGGGCTGTCCATGGAGTTCTGGGGGAAGACAACTGAAGTCTGGGGATAAAAGCAAAATGCTGGAAATCAGAAACAAACCCACAGAGAATGCTAGAAAAGCTCAGAAGGTCTGGCAGCTTCTGTGGAGAGAGAAACAAAGTTAACGTTTGAGTTAGCTATGACCTTTTATGAAGAACAGTCATACCAGACTCGAAATGTTGAGGTTGCAATTATATTTGTGCACACTGCCTTGGCTGTTCATTGTCCAGTGGTACCACTTTTGAGGCCTGTCTGTGGTCAATGCGAAACTGGGCCTCTCTCCCTTGGTTACTTCTCGCAGCAGTCTTTTTAACGCTGAGAGATCCTGGGCCCTTTGACCTTCTAGACTCCTGGGAGAAGCCGGGTAAGGTATCAGTACTATTAAATTAGTCAACAGAGCTTCAGTGCTGAGAACTTTCAGCTGGCCTTTATCTTGTTCCTTTCCTAAGGTTACAAAACATCCATGAAAACCTCTCACTGCTACAGACTACAAATCTGTGTCACTACCATGTGCAATGTCATTTCTTTTTGATGTTTTTAATTGACATGATAATGTATTAATTATAAGGTCTGTCCCTATATAAACTCATTGCTCTAAAAGAGGCAGATTGTTTCCTGAACTTTTATTTATCTCCAGCTCTTTGTGAGGTAGTCAATCTATTTTCAGGATTCTCACTGATGAATGTCCCACGTGTTGCCCGAAGCTGACAGCTCTCCCTCCCCCCAGCAACAAGGGTAAGTGAGACCGAGAGACAATGTTCCATTTCTCCTTGTCCTGCACTTAGCACTTCTCCATCAATGGCCTGGCTAGAGCCCATGGTTAGCTCTTATTGCATCTTGCTCCAACACTTCACACGACTGTACCTACATTTAAACAAGATTGGCAAATCAAAGGGGACATGCTCTGCTCTGGATGTACAATAGCTGCTGTGAAGAAGCAATGGAAATTAGAATAAGTTTGTTTACAGATGTTTTTCTCTTACAGTTTTCACAGCTGATAAAGATCTCCCAAACCTTGACACCTGCCAAGTTCCCACTCATCGACCAGACATTCTTCCCCAACCACAGAGAAATGGTGAGTATTACCCAAACTAGCTTTTCAGACTTTTAAATGCTGGTATGACTGTTCAATGTTTGGACTTCATGACTGATGGGGAGAAAGATTAGCAAAGCTTTCTCTTTAATTTTCTTTCAGAATACCCTGAACAGAGACTGACTTTCTGTGTGGCTGCTCTCAAACCCACATACTTTCAGTTTAGTCTAAATCTAGGTTTTTCTCAGTCATTTCAAAGCATAGCCAAGATCATCTTTCGTTTACTTCAGCATTTAACTGTAAAACGCAAATAAAATTTCACTTTTCCTTTGACTGGTTGCTATCACAAAGAGTTTTCAGATGGATTCAGTAGTTTAGTTTGTCCATTATGAAAGTATTGTTCCCATTTAACAGGCTCAGTGCATTCAATTCCAATCCCCCATACCACACCCCATTTTTTTTCTTCTCTTCATCATGGATTAAATGACACAATTTGACAAAAATTTCCAGATCTGCCTAGTTGTTTCCTGCTCTCAAGCATGTAAGACCCAACGAAAATTGATGAGAGCTTATTTTTCCATTCCCTAATCTGAGTGCCCCTCAGCTGCTTCCCTGGCTAAGATCAGAGAACTCACATTGACCAGTGAACAGAACTCTGGTTCTGGATTTATCAAATTCCCTACAGCATAAGAGTGTATTTTCCCGTTGCAAAATGGTACTTTACATTCTGTCTATCCAAAGGCAGTATCACTTAATTCAGTTCTGTGCTTAGGCTAATCCCAGACTATTTGTCCGTTTAGGTTCTTAGTTATTTCACGTAGGAACAGTCCTTTAATAAACTCATTGTAAAGCACACCTTTGGGTCGTGGAAGGACAGTGGAATTCACTGAAAGAGAAGTATCCAAATCCAGAGCTCTGTGGACTTCTACCATTCCAAAAGCCAGAACATAAGGAATTTCCTGAATCACTTCTTGAAAGATATGCCCTAGAATAACTTCCACGCTCGTAATCCAAGGCAGAAGTCCTTACTAGCAGCTCCTACATACTTGGTCCTGAACTTGCTGTTCTTAAGGATTCTCATTCCTATTTTCTATTCTACTTTAGTCCGATCTTTTTTCTCCTCTGTACAGGTTTAATAAATGAGAAAGAATAATTTAACTATTCCAGATATATGTATAGAGCTTCCATTTTTTGCTTCATCTTCATATACAGCTCAAATCATTATATTTGGTTTATGTACACATCACATTATTTTAGTACCATGCCGATTCCCCATTCCCCATTCAGAGAATTAAACATGCAGTTCAGAATGATGCCAGACCAGTGGTGAGTGTGGCAAAGGTTGATTGGCCTCTTCCCTCCATTGCAACAGTTACAGGAGTCCAGATTAAATATTGTATCTAGGGAAACCTGCTACTTACATTCCAAGATTGATTAGCATCATGGTCTAGGACCAATTTCACCTTGTGAAATGCTCACAGGATTCCCCGTCATTATCTTTGCTCCTCCAACCCTGGTCTGCTAATACCAAAGGAGATATTAGTCTCTTTTGGGGAGAGGAGTGAAAATGCAATGTAATTCTTCACTTTTAGTGGCATCCCCTCGAGAACAGTAATTCACTAAATGAACAAATTGTCAATAAAGGAGGAAAAGAGATGCAGAGACTGAATTACTGTGATAGAAATAATAGTATTTTTACTGTTTAGAAGACACTGTAAAAGTGACATTGGAAAGTTTTTTTTTTAAAGAACTTACATTCATGAAATATAAAATGCACAAATACTGCACAAAAATCTGCAAACAATGTAAATTTCAGGATAAGTCCATTCCTCCAAGAAAGGTTTATTTCATTTAATTGGTTTCTCCCTCTTTCGAAGTTCCTTCAGCCATTAAATCATGCTGTTATTGGGCAGATAGATTCATAGACTCACAGATACACACAAACACACACACAAACAACCCACTCTATCTATACTGTAGGTAGACATGTGCACGGATATTTACATAAACCAGGCAAACTCACGGAAATCAACTAATTTTACAAAGATAAATCAAATGAAACAATCTTTAAAAAGAGCTTTTAATTACCTTGTTCCCCACCAATATTCTGTCTGTTACTTATCCAGCTTTGAAAAGCACATTATCCACATATGACAATACTTTCAATGCAATTATATATATTCATAAGAATGAAATGCCCACTCATACAGAAGTGTACTGTATAAAATATAGCTTATGTCAGTAATCAGTACATTTTTGAAAAGAGTTATATATAGGTACATGTTTTATTCATGCTCCAAATTTATAGATGATTTCTTTCAGAATGTCCATTGATTGATGTTGTCACCAATGTAAAATATAAGAAGCAGTCTGGGATTTAATAATCAGTGGTAAAGTGGTTGTGTGTGTGTGTGTGTGTGTGTCGGTGGTGGGGGGGTGGTGGGGGGTGGGGGGATGGTGGGGTGGGGTGGGGTGGGGTGGGGGTGGTGGTTGTGGTTGTGGTTCTGCAAAGCCAGATAACAGTTATTTATATTGTATGACACAAAACAGTTATAGCATCCTAGTTTACTCACATCAGATGGTACTGCTGTACTTTCTAACTGGTGGTACAAATAGTTCAGTAGAAATGTTCAACAGATGAGAAAAAGATGCTCCTTTTTGTCTCAGGCACAGAACATTCTTTGTGAGCATAGGGGCTTTATCATTATGTAACAGCTCCAGTAAGTTTTAAAAGTTGTGATTTTGCACATTGCATTTATCATAGCCCTTATTTTGTTTCTTTTGCTGCTGAAGCAGTTAGGGAATGTTACATTAAAGATTTCATATCAATGCAGGTTGGTTGTCAATTTTGTTTTTCAAACATCTTTGCTCTCTTGGTGGATATACACTGCATTCTACAACATGATGACCCGAGAAAGGTTCTGTGGAAAGACAGGAAATTCTTTGGGACATTGGACCCCACTTTCCTGTTGGCAATTAAATGCATCGAGGAGAAAAGAGGTGGTGGCACTGGTGGTCTGGGTGATGGGCATCAGAAATTGGATGGAGAAGCAGTGGTAGGTCTTCAAAGATTTTCCACTGAAATTCTACCCAGTATCAAGTGGAATGTGAGAAGAGAATGCCATTATAAAGTCTTATACAATTTTATTATATAGGATTGAAATCTTAGCCAATAGTTTGAGCATCAGGTTTCTACAATTGCACCCTTTTCTTCAAAACAAATAGGAAACTAGTACCTTTTATTGCATGGCACCTCAACTTTTCTCTAAAAGGTACTTAGATCCACTGGCAGGAGAGCAGATCTCCTCCTTTTGCCTGCTCGCCACAGTGTAAGCAAGCCAATGACAATATTGATGTTCCTTTATCCCACTGGCAGTAGAGAAAGCAAAAATCTGGAGGTGGCTTTCTGCTGTTTATACAGTGGAGCTTTTGTCAGTTACATAAATGCAGCAAGTCAGTCTCTCTCCAAAGGGCTTAGTGATGCTGAGACTGACTCTCCAGATCATAAACAGGGGTGTAGTGCAATTTTTCTAAAACTCAAATGATTTCAAGCATATAGAGAAAATCGCCTTTCAGACATACACCAGACAGATTATAGGGTTTTTATTTTCCTCACAGCACTGTTCGGTTATGTATTTTAAATTCCATTATGTATTTTAAAAAGGCATTCTAATGCCAAATAAGTGATCTCTTTAACACCAAATAACGTTGGAATTTGAACATCTTCTCTAGAGAAAAAAAAATCAAAAAAGTAGCTTTGCCTGAAACCTTTGAGCCACCTGTGTGCCACATTTATAAAGGGCAGTAGCATTTGCATATGGCACAGGACACTGATAGTAAAATATACCTAAAGCTCATTGATATATTTTTTTGCTGCAAGGAGCATGTCTGAAGCAAGATTGATTGGTATGGAGACAAATGGTCCATGCATTGGACAAACTAAGAATAATTCTGAGAAAACAGGAAAATGGCTTAGAAGTCTGTGTTGGATGTGCTAATGCTGGGAATAGACAGGCATTACATCATGGCTGTGTCACACAAGATGGCCGTCCTTGCTAGCCAGCATGTTTACAGAGGACATTCCCTTTCAGGGGTCTGTGGCATTGATCCTGGTTTTGTCTGGGGGTGCTGCACCTCTGTACCAACTGCAGTAACCTTCCTTTTGCCGGATGCATACATAGTGCTTAGCTTGGTGCCCCATGTATCCCTGGTCAGACAACATATCGGTCCACAGGCACTCATTCTTTGCTGTCACAAAACATGGCAGGTAATAACAAGGTTTGATCTGAAAAGACAAGAATGACATGGAGAAATGTAAGATTTCTCAGAGTGAACACAGTGTCTACAGGTCTGTTTATTTCAAACTCTTGCACTGAATGCTCATATGTGGAATAAGCGTAATAATTACACAGAAGCATTTTAGCTAAACAGTATGTGGGCACTGGATTAATATCAGAAAATGTGCAGTTAGCAACATTGGGTTCTTTTTGTGTCACCACAAATATTCTTCAATCATCTTAAATCAACTACCTTTTATGAGTTAATTCCTCCCAATTATCACCATATGAGTGACTATTTCTTTCTTATTACTCCATTCTCCAGCACAATTAGCAGACACACAGTTGTCAATATGTTATACTGGATGGGTAGTTCAGCAGCAAAATGCGGTGTTCATGAAAATGTCTGTACCTTGCAATTACAACCGTGCTGGTAACGATGATTAAGACCCTTGCGTTGTGACAGGGTCAATCTCTCCCATGGCACAATGAAATTACACACTCCAGTGTAGACTTTCCCATCATAAACTCTTCCTGTTTATGGTTAAAAGAGAAGGAATTTAAGCATGTGCTCCTTTTAACATTTTCCATCATTGCTTAACATTATTTTCATTTTCAAGAGCTGATTCTCAGAGGCTACTTTTTTGATTTTTTTGTTATGGCAATTATTTGGTGTTCAAGTGTTCCTTTTTCTGTCTCACTTAACTTCTTTATAAGATGATGCAATCATTTAGTAACAATACCTTCTGTATTTGTGTCAATAGATGGTGGGATTTGGGCTCGCACAGAAACAGAATTAGAATTCATCAGATTCCAATGATCATCACCACTCCATTAAACTTAAAGCCACAACACATGAGTAAGCCACTCATTTCCGAAATACCACAGTATTCAAATTGGCACGAGATAACAGGCATAAGTTAGAGACAGGAATTTTTTTTAAAAACAGCTGCTGACACACTTCCCAGCTCAAAAAGCCATCACTCGAAACCCTGTTTCTACAGACTAGTCAAAGCTAAATGATTGGATGTTTGTCTTTAACACAGTCACTGTATTTCAAATAATTCATTGTAAAACTGATGTGACAACACAAATACAATTCTTAATGAAATAATCCTGTTCAGCATTAAACTACACAACTGACATATTATAAAAATGTGTTCATTATTATCACATCTATTACATTTTTTCCCCATATAGTAGCTCCTGAACTCCTGCAGCTTTAATTTAGAGATTCTATATTCCTTTGAAAGGAATTGTTTACTTCAGATTTCCTGTTCCGAGATAAGTGAGTATTCATGTGTTGAAATGTTTGAAACAGTTTTGTCACCTTTTGTAGCTTCTGTTCCCCCTTTTGCAGACCAAGCCACTTCCAGGATCTCCACTTTCCCCCATTGGTAACCTCATTGTCCAGGCCCTTGCTGACCTAGTGAGCAATGGCCTGGAGAGGGGGTGGTGAAAGGTCAAGAAGGGAATTTCCTGATGCTTTTGTGGGTCCTGGTTTTGGGGAGGGAGGATGGAGAGAAGGTAGTTTCCTGCTGCACAAACCTCTATTGCTTCCTGTAAGAAGGGTCAATACAAATTAATCAACTCCTAATCAGTGGCATTCTTTCCAATTTTTTCTAAATATTTTTCCAATGGCTTCTGCCAGTCCTGACAATACTTAAGTGCCAATTAGATGGTGTTTTCTTCCAGTCTTGGTAATGATGGAAAATGTGATGCATGACTCCAGAGGGTTATCACAAAGGAAGCTATCCCTGTCTGCCAGTGCAACCTGGGAGCCAAAACCTTCATCAGAACACATTGAAGGGGAAGGCCGGTCAGATTAACACATGACTCTTATTTATAATTGACTTTCACCTACTGCCCTCCTTGCCTTATTCCCAAATTCCTTTCTCCTCAAAACACTATTTACATTATTATCTCATTACCAATTTATACCGTCTGCTTTAGTGACATTTCCTAGCAACTTGTTCACAATTGTTGTGCGAAAAGAGTCTGCTTGATTTCCCTTCTTACTCAATGTTCCAATGTTTAACCATGATAATTGAACCCTGCAGTGAATAATTTACCTACATCAGTTTTGTAAACTTCCTTTACAATCATGTAAATGGAGTGTCACCTTAAGAACTTTTTACGGAAAATAAGAGATCAAGGCTATCTTCTGTCGACTTTCCATATAAATTGAATTCTTAATACCTGGAGTTATCTTTAATGATCAATTCTGTATCTTTTCCAAGGTCAAATGATGTGTTGGAACCTCCTGTTCACATAATCAAATACAATAGAAAGAGCTCATTTAGCCTTTAATACTGTGGCAACTCTGAAATCGCTATCCAATTAGTTTCACTTCCATTTTTGTAGGCCATCTGACAATCGATCTAGTGCCTTGTTGTGGGATTTCAATGGTCTTGTTATTTCAGTTGTTTCGAGTGGTCTGTCTTCTGTCTTGCAAAAGGATATAAGTTGGGTGCCAGGTTCATGTTTGTTTAAATCTGAACCTATTGCATCGTCTCTGGGTCAAAGTCTTTTTGATTGTATGATTTATTCATCTCATTTATTTGTACATTTTTATTGTAATCACAATTATTTTAAAACTTGAAAATGATGTTGCATTACATTAAGTATTTAACAATTCATATGCATACAACAGCTTTCTAAATAGATATCAAAAAGGCTGAAGGTGACCAAAATGGAGATTAAACCAGAATGAGGTTTGGTCTTTTGCAGCTCTTATTATCGGTGCATTTAGTAAATAAATATTTACAACTTGGTAAAAATCCTCCCTGCTTTGAACTCTTGGGTACAATGTTAGGTTCCTGTAAATTAAACTGGACCCCTAGATTTCCCCAATAAAGAAGTTCTTTATCGAAAAGCACATTCCAGCATCCCCTGTTAAATTTTTCATACAATCTGCTGCATCCTCAGACACAGTCTCATGTATGATGGGTAAGCCTGAATCAACAGTTTTCAAATTTATAAAGGATATCTACCAAATATTGCTCTGAAAATCAAAATGCCCTGTATATGGTTACAGTGTAAGTTTTAGTAAACTTTGCCGATTACCTGTGATGAGATACTGGAACTTGTTCACCTGAAGCCGGACACCACACAGACTCTCTGCAGCTTCCGTATAGATATACTGAACATGGTGCGTTTTGTTGAAACCACGGTACATCTTTGGAAGAGAGAAATCATTGTCAACTGCAATCCAGACAGTCAGTTTCTTGATGAAAAAATGTAAATATAGTGGTAAGACACTGAAAATCCGGAGAAACTCATCAGGTCTGATAGCATCAGTGGAGAGAGAGAGAATTAACTTTTCAAATCTGGTATTACTCTTTTTCAGAACTGAAGGTTCTGAAGAAGTGATACTGGACTTCAAAACATTAACTCTTTCTGTCTCCGCAGATGCTGCCAGAGCTGCTGAGTTTCTCCAGCATTCTCTGTGTTTGTTTCAGCTTTCCAGCATCCACAGCGTCTTCGCTTCAGTCAAAAATTGTTTGGTGATTTGCTTTTTATTCATAAAAGTTGAGTTCAAATATCACAGCACGACTTGCATTTATATTCCACTATTAATGCAATAAAATATCCCACGGAGCTTTCAGGAAATGGTAGATCAGATAACCAAACACTTGGTCAGGGTGGTATACTTAAGAAGTGCCTTAAAAAAGACAAAAGTGAGGTAGTCACGTACAAGTATACACATCAGTACAGATATCTCAGGGTTGTGTGGTTGGAGGAGATTGTGGAGCTGCAGGAGCAAAGGAGGTGGACATGGAGGAGAATTTTAAGATTATCATTTTGCTTGATTGTGAAATAACATGTTCAGGGAACACAGGGCTGCGAGGGGAATGCTGTGGACTAGGACACAGGCAGCAGATTCTCGGATGTCCTCAAGTTTACAAAGGCCAGGACGGCTTTGGAATAGTTGAACCTGGAGGAGATGAAAGCATGGTTGAGAATTTCAGCAGGTTAGATAAGACTAAGCAAAGTCAAAGTTATGGAGGTGAAAATAGCTCATCTCAGTGTTTGTGAAAATGTGAAGTTGGAGGCTCACATTGGGATCAAATCTAACATCACAAACTGACTGAGTTTCAGATTGTTGCTGGGGAAAGAGCTGGGTGTTGTCAGTGTCCGTGTGAAAACTAATATATTTTTGGATAATGGCACCAAGAGGCAGAATGTAGATGAGAAACAGGAGGCAAGTTGAGTTTCATAAGAAAAGGTTATCCGAAATAGTTAAAAATTTGTTGAAATTGAGTTTTATTTATTTGAAAAGACTCTGATAAAACTTTAATTGGAGGGGAAGAATAAGTCTGGAGAGCATAAAATCATAACAAGGAGGAGTTGGTTTTCAGCAGCTCTTCTTTGGCTTGGCAATAAGTCACTTTACCAGGCTTATAAAATGAGAAATACACTACGACATCGTAAGGTCTGATGCTAAAAATGTACTACTATATTTAAAACTTGCTACTTCACTTAAACTTTATTTGAAAGAAATAAAAAGATCACATTTACATAACCACAGTATGATGTGGCAGATGTCGCAACTAATACAGTACAAGCTTAGTGAAAATCAGCTTGAAAAGTAATCTGAGCTCTTTAGAAGAGTTTGTTGGAGGAAGTAAATCTGGACAAAGATGCCAGTCCCTCGTGATATTTTTTAACATGCATCCTATTTCAACATTAAAAGACATTACTTCAGAGCCTGGTATTACTAAATCCTTGGAGATTACCTGCTTAGAAATGGTGTTAGGTTCTGTTATAGAAATTGACATTAGCACTTCCTAAAGGTATTGAAATCGATCCTTTCTGTTAAGGTAGTATATTTTACTTCAATTTTCTCAATTCATTTTGCATGAAAGAGTAATCCCTAGAGAAAGGTTATTCATATGCTTGAGCTCACGGTGAGGCTAAGTACACACCTGTCCACAAAAAATGTTACCAGCAGATGGGGAAGCGGCAGGAAAGGCCATCCAGGCATTTCACAATGCTGTTGTTTATCTGACTGTCCCCATGTGTATCTGCCATCTGTTAAAAGATGGGGTCTTCCAAGTAGATGTCTTTGATCTATTTTTAAAGGTCTGTCACCACTGGCTTGAAGAGAACAATTCTGGTATCCTGCAGCTGGTGTAATGTTAACTCTTACACCTCTGTAGCTTAAATGAAATGCAACGGAATGATTCACTCCCATTTGGTACTGTACAACTCCATCTTCTTGGTTTCCATTTTATTTCAATTATACCTTGACTGTACATAACAATGTGGAAAATTACCTGTCTACATCCTTTTCCCAAAATGCTAGCAAATCTTAACCTAGCCAATAACTGATCCTTCAGCCAGCTGCCAAACACCAATAGACTGATGGAAAGGTTTGTTAATAGTGCCAACTAATCAATAACCTGGCAGGTGAACTAAGTTTGCTACCAACCAAAAACTTTAAGCTTCAGCCCTAATCACAGCATTAATCCAGATATAGGTACAAGAAAGATTGTAATCTTAATATCTATGGTTTCATTTAGGCTACATTCCCAATTGTAGCTTCAGCGTTACATGATGTATTGGATTGAGGTGGAACAGGGAGAGAACAGAAGTCATGGCTTCCACTGCACACAACGCCTGGAAATTGGTTATCAAGTGACATTAGCTTTACCACTGGCCTTTACGTCTGTTCTGGAAAACTATTTATTTTTCTTGATCACCATGTTACAATCTTGTAGTTTGCATAGTACATTGTTATTCTCGTCTGCTTCCTTCCCCGCAGCAATATTTCCCATTTCTGCTCCTCCTAACACCATCACCTCCCTCTCCACCACTCCACCCTCACATCTAAGTTCATTGTTACTCAATGAGATTGCAAAACAAATCATTCATGCATTGTATACCCTGTCACATAAGATGCAGGCTCTCTCCATCTCTATAATTCCTCTATAATGTTCAGTGTGTAACATTAGCTAAGGCCAGCTGACTATCAGAGAGGCTTTTCTTTAAAATGGAAAGAGGCAAGATATCGGCTGATGAACTGACTTGCATTATTATCACAGGATGATGAAAACCATCATTGTCAGCCTTTCAAAGAGGAATTTAGAAGAAAAATGATCTTGTTCTCTTCAGGATGACTGATATGTTTTAGTTGGAATCAAACATCTTGACATCTTTACACCCAACATCAATGTCAAGTACTCTTTGGTCATGTATATTCAAAGTGAATAAATTCGAAGTGAATCAACCTCCACTCTGCTCCACCACTATTCTGTAATTCCAACACCGCTAGTATCTCCAAATGTAGCCATTCTGTTTTCTATGCCAACTATTTCTGTGAACTGTTTCAGGTAGCTTTAAGCTCACTTTCACTTTCAGAACTGGATAAAGACTTCATCGAAATCGGGTCTCTTTCAACAACCAGAAAGAGGAAAGTTTCATTGTGTCACTCAATACCCAATTCAAATTCAGTTGCCGGATTTGAAATAGCATTGCATCGTTGAATCACATACATTCAGATTCTTTACAATATTGACTAGTTTGGTGTCACTAACCTTCATCTGTTTGATGGTGTAGCGCATTGTACCAAAAGGTCCATCCTTCAGCAGTTTCTTCCCAACCACTTTTGCCCGGATCACTGGAAGACAATGAATGCATCATACAAGGTCATTCAGTTTTAATGTAGAATTTTAGTAATTAACAGAAATATTCATCAGTCTGATTGCTTACAAGTGGAAAACCTATAAATTGCACATGCTCGACATCCTCAATATTTTTGTTGAAACTGTGGTCAGAGCTCCCTGATGGTTCTGTTGTTAAGTTTGTTGTCCAGTGTGAAACTAACTGGGAAGGTTTCCAGTTAATTGATTTCAGCCAGGAAACTAAAATAGGTCACAGTATTTGTGGCCGACAGGGTGGGCTATCAAATAGGATTTCCAATTCTGATCAGTTTCAAATATACCGGTATTGTGTGAAAACAGGCCCCTGGGATAGCTACTAATCTTCTAAAATAAACATTAAATATATGCTCACACAGGAAGGATGTGCGTATGGGAGAAATTCTGCAGGATTACCTGCAGCTGAGGAAGTAAAGCCAAAAGTTAACGCCTTCAGAGAAGGAGGAGAGAAAATTAGGAGGAGGCAACTTGCTAAAGATATGATATAATTGATTTCACTACATGTGTGAAGTGCCTCACTCAGAGAAAAGGAGGCATACTGACTGCTTCTGTAAACATAACTATTCTTATTATAGTGGAGTCAAAGTGGAAAATCAGCCATGATTATATTGAGTATTGGAGTAGGCAGAAATGGCTGAATAGCCTACTTGTGTTCTCACTTTTCATTTTTCAGAAGCAGAATTTGTCTCTTTGAGAGGAGTAAACAATACAATAAGGGAATGAAGGATAATTTACCACAAGTTCATCTCTGTCCTTTGCCAGGAGGCATTTACAAAGCTACTCCGGAAGCTGGAAGGTAACTGTAAACTGAGGACATGTATTCTCTCATAGGAAAGCTCCCACTGTGCACATGACGCACTTGTGCTTTGAATCAATTTAATAAATTTAGGTTGTTTAGTTTATCCTGCATTGTTTATTCTTCCGCTTTCCTCACCCTCCCCCGTCTTCCTGTAATTTTATGTCCTGGAAGCTTCAGGCTCCTTGAGCCAAGTAAACGTGTGGTGAGCTTAAAAATCAGTACCAGCCCAATTTAACAGCAGCCTTGTGCCTTGAGTTCTTTAGTTCAGCTGTACATTTTGTTTCAAGGGAAGAGGTGTGACTTCCGCTGGGAGTGTCCCAGTGTTTAGTCTACAATCCTCAAACACAAGCAGACTTTTGTTCCGTGCCAGCCGACCGGCAATTAAGCCTGACAGCGGCATGACGGAGCAAGGGGACAGCACACCAGATGGGGCAAGAATGTGGAAAAACGCTGGCAGTAAATCACTTTGTTTCTCATCTGTTTGGAGGGAGCTGGTTTAGCTTCTGAAAACAATTTCGGGGCAATCTGACTTTTATGGACAAGAATTCTAACGATGACTAAAGAGAACAGCAGTGGATCCGAGAAGCTCATTATATAGAAATGGCTGGCACTGAAACCTGCTCTAACACTGTTCACCAGAAATGTCCAACAATGCACATTTCTGGCCATTTACATGACAGTCTATGACTGTAACAGGGAGCAAAGGTTCAGCTCAAGATAGAGTTTCCCTGCTCCTTCAGGATCAGTGTTACTTCTGGCAGCAAATAGAAATTATTTTGGTGTCAGGGTGACTGAACAAAGTTTTGTAGTTTGATAGAACGGTTACAGCACAGGAGGAGGCCGCTGCTGTGTTCATCCTAGGCCCAAGAGAACAACTTGGCTCTTCCCACTGAGCTGCCTTTTCCTCATAGTCCCCTGCAAATATATTCTGTTCAGATCATTATGGCCTCATTTGTATCACCACACTCTGAGGTACAGTAGTGAATTCTGGATCCTAACTACTTGTCTGTAACAAAAAAAAAAATCCTCATATTGGTTCTGGTTCTTTTGCCAATCACTTTAAATCTGTGCCCTCAGCTTTTCAACTCATTCATAACGGGTGCAGTTTTCTATCAGTTCTGTCCAGGTCCCTCTCAATTTTGAATATCTGATGGGCTGAATGGCTCGTTTCCACGCTGTAGGGATTCTGTTCTGTTCTGTTCACATCTTCTCTCAACCTCATCTAAGGCCTCAGCTTCACCATTTTATCCAGATAACTAAAATCTCATCCTCAGAATCATTCTTATGAATCCGTTCTGATCAGGACCTTGTTATTGATCTATTTTTTTTTAATCTAAAACATATTTGAAGTCCAAAATTTCCTTCACAAACTCTTGTCTTCTAGCTTAGGTCCTATAATATCATCTGGGGTCTTTTAATCTCACAGTGGTCACTAACAGGATGTTACTGTCAAGCCAAAGAGATGTTCTGCCTATTCCACAAATGTGTAATGTGTTATGAGTTTCAGTGCCAGTGTGATGTTGGGTATGTAGGCTGTATGTCCCAAAGACTGGCAGATGGTATCAAACAGCATATTTCTTCAGCTATTCACAACAAGCAAAGTACCGACCATACCCAACCAGCTCTCGCTTGCAAATTTCACAACAGTGTCCAACATTTGATGCGATTCTACAATTGGATAACATTTGCTGGATAATCCTGTGTGTGATAAATTCTGCTGACAAAATATTTCCAAGCTTGCACTGTAGCGTACTTGAGTGTACTGGAAGTTCTATTTATTGATACACAGGGCCGTGTTCTTTGCAGACAGAAAGAAGATGTACACATGTTGTGCCTGTTTCAACTCAACAAAATATATGACAGCCATTTTCTGATTAAGTTCTCAGGCCAATGCCAGAAATATTCGCCACTGCTGGGATATCCCGTAATGACCTCTCAGCCCTACTGCTGGCAGAGTCAGTCTACCTGGTTTAACATTTTAACAAAACCTGCCAGTTAATTTTCAATCATAATTAATTAGTGTATTCTCCATGACAATAGCTCTACCAAACTGCCTACTAATCAGATTGCCAACCAATCAACATCATCCCCTCATACAGTATAATGGTTGGTTTTCCTCTTGAATTGGTATTGTGTATTGTCTGGTGAATCCAAGATGCAAAACGTTTTCAAAATATATCTCTTTTAGCAGCTCTCAAGTTCTGTATTGCAAATGAATGCCTTCCTCTGCACATATTCGGGAAGTCACTTATACTTTTGCAAACACAACATTTTTGTGTGACTTCATCTGTGCATGCAATCTCTTCTTGTTCTGCAGTCCTGACATTGGTTTTTTGCATGAAGGTGTTTGGTTTGTTCTCTGTGTTGGCTTGTTGTGAGCCTCTTTTCAGTAACTGTGCTTTTGTTCTGAAGCTTATATTCACTGATTCTGGATCAAAATCCTGAAACTCCCTCCCTAAAGACTTTGTGAGTGTACCTCCACTAAATGGATTGTGGTGGTTCAGGAAAGCAACTCCATCATCACCTTCACAAGGGCATGTTAGCCCGGCCAGTGATGCCCATATTCCAAGAGTGAATAAAATTGAATGACTGAACCATTCTACTCTCTGTACAATAGCAATGTTGCAGAACCTCCTTTACTTGTCATTTTTTTTTTAACTCTGGGTGTGGAATTTTGTCATATTTTGGTTAAGTGTCAATGTTGTTGCATTACTGGGGGATTTCTGTTTGTGATGCCCAGTGATACTTCTTGCCATATCATCCAAAACTCCCTACCTTACTGCTTTGCCGATACGCTCATCTGATGATAGCCTTATTCTACCCAGAAGAATTTGCCACTGCTGGATATCCCATAATAGCCTCTTAGCCCTAGTGCTAGCACCATCTTTAAAAGGCCAATGTGCACCCAGACAAACACTGTCAGCCCAGAGCTGCCCTGCATGGTAACTGGACTGATATTTGCCAAAATATGGCAGGGAAGAGGAAATTTGATTCATTGCTTTGTGGACATGGACCTGGAGGTCCTGGTAGATTCAGTGAGGGCTGTCCTGTTTCCCTAGGATTGGCAGTGGAGACCATAACACCTGACTCTGCCAGCCTGCTCTGAGATTGCTATCTGGGTCAGTGCGGTCTCAGCTATCTGGAGGAATGCCTAGCACTGTAGGAAGAAGGTCAGTGACCTTCTCCACTCCACCAGAGTGAGATTCACAGTCTTCTCTCTACTACTGCATGCACCACCAACTAAGCCTCAAGCTCTACCACTTTCACTGTTTGCAATATCTTCCCTCTCTTGCTGTAATCTATCTCAACACCATCAACTTTTCATGCCTTCTGCCCTGTCTATTTACTCACTTGGGACACCTTTTCCCTTTCCTCCCCCACCTGAACCAGTATTAACAGTTGTGACACCCGCTTCCATCTCCTTCTTTCCCCTTCTTTCTCCCATTTGAGGGGGAAAAGAAATTACATTAAGGCAGAAAGAGCCAAGATGGGTGGTGGGCAGCCTAACATTCAGCTTCTCACTTGTTTGAGGAGCAGTCTGGACCCCGTCAGTCCTGAGTGGCTGAATAACTGTGCCCAAGTCTCTGGAGTGATATCGGAGGCTGTCCTTGATTTCCTGTGCCAGGATTCCATGACTGAAGGCTTGATTTGACTGTGGTTAGCTGACAGCAATGGTAAGCTACCTGGCTTTACGTCTGTGTTAAATAGCAAGACAAGGCAGAAGTACTATGATCCTGGTAGCTCTGGCTGAGGAAGGAAAGCACTGAAAAATGAGGCGAGGCAGGGATACAGTGAACATCCAGGTAGGCTCAAAGTTAGTGAGTAGCCTGGACCAGTCTGTGAGCTGGGTGTCTGTTGCTGCACAGCAGCATTTCAATGCCAATTGCTGGTGCAGCTTGAAAAGAGAGAAGCATCCTGTAGGTGAATCAGAAAGGTACCAAAAGGTTCCTAAGAGGACAGTAGTGTCCACAGACAGGGAGTCCTCTCAGACGTTATTGCAAGATGGTAGCCAAGGGGAGCCAGCCATGAGCTGAAGTCACCGGGTCCCTGCTCAGACTTGCATGCTGGGAATTTTCAACATCTAGTTTCCTCACAGCCAATGAGAGGCTAGGAAGCTGCATATTAATGAGGCAAGATTTGCAGTGATTGAAGTTGATAACA